GGCCTTCTTGAAATGGAGGTTAAGACCTACTCCAAGGCTGCAGCCAGTGCTGCCTATTTATAATTTATTAGGCTCTAAGAAAAGCAATTCCTGAGGGTGAGTCAAGGAGAACCAGTCCAAGGCTGTCATCTATGCAAAAGGTTTAGTGCACAATGAAAGGTGGTGGAAGGGTTTTTATTATTTCCTACACAGAAATGGGTGGCACGGCTTCCCTATGGCTTCTTTCCATTGGCCTGGATTTTAGTTGCTTCCCTATTCCAAGCATCACATCTCTTCCTACAGCAAATGTAGGAATGGCTTATACAGAAAATCAATATCAGTAAACAATTGTTTTAAGCTCCTCTTAGTGTGTGCCTCCTAGCAGAGGGAGAGAAGCAGAATCAATGTGATGTTGTGCCCAACGAAGCAAGGCTAAGTAGGGCTCTGTGGAGGAAGTTTGAGAGGAATGCCAACTCTGACCTTTCTGGCCATGAACCAATGCCCCCCCCCCTGCTGTCAGGTTGCTTGACTGCCACACTTTCTGCCTTCTTCCCACCATGGCCCTTCAGCCTGTGCTCAGCTTCTAGTTTCTCCTTGCCACTCTTCAAACAACTCCTGCCATTGTTCTCTATATTCAAATTCAAGAACCTACCTGACAAAACAGTCAAAAGGAGGACCATTGGAAACACATCTGTGCTCCCCCCACCCCAGACGTACTGTGGCCATAGTTAGGGTTTCTGCATAGGTCTCTGCACCATGCACCGTGTAAGCCGCTCAGAGCCTTTCGGGGGTGAGCGGGGTACAAATTGAAAGTATAAATAAATAAATAAATAAATCTATGTACACTCAGCACACAATGTCCCGAGAGTAGCTGTATAAAATATATTTATTTATTTTTCATATTTGTATCCCGCCCATCCCGTGAGCGGGCTCAGGGTGGGTGACATCATCTTAAATAATACAATAAGGTTTAAAACACAATAAAACACTTACATTATAAACATTTAAAATCAGTATTTCCTCGCCAACCAGCTTGTTGTCTGGATGTACTGTGTTCCCTTAGTTTACTGACTAAAATACTTCAAAGGAAGCTGCAGTTAGCCCTGTACAGCCAAAGAAAGATTGGGAGAAAGGTCATGGGTATTTAGATGATCTGCAGGCTAGTTGACTGTAGTTTGTTTTCATTTTTAAAAAATCTATACTGTTTGTAATGATTAAAGCCAAATGAATCCAGCTTGGTTTTTAGATAGTAGGGTGAATTTGTGGAGGTGATAAGCACACAAACATCAATATACTTGGACAGCTATGTAAAGACAGCTTCCCTCCTGCGATCTTATTTTTAGAATGTTCTTTACTCCAAGGAGAGGGTTTTTTAAAAAAAAGTTGGATCGATTTCTTAAACTAACAGCTTGCCAGGTTCTTTCTGATATTTGGACTGTGCTCAGCATTACAAAGAGGAAGAGGAGAAGAAGAAGAAGACAACGACGACTTATCAGGGAATGTTGCTGATTCTATGGCAGCAGAAAAGAGCAAGAGTCCAGTAGCACCTTAAAGACAAACAAAATTTGTGGCAGGGGATGAACTTTTGTGTGTCACTGTTCACTTCTTCAGATAATCTTCAGATAATCTGGAATCTGAAGAAGTGAGCAGTGACTCACAAAAACTCATATCTTGCCACAAATTGTGTTAGTCTTCAAGGTGCTACTGGACTCTTGCTCTTTTCTACTGCTGCAGACAAACAAACATGGCTACCCATCTTAACCTGGTTCTGTGGTTTATTCTTCATCAATTCTCCCATGAGCTAATCCTTGATCATGATGACAGTGTGTCGGGGGAGGGGGCAGTTGCACTGCCTACATTCAGTCTGAGATCTGGGAAGTCACCGCATGAATTCAGGTGCCGATCAGTCCAGTGGCATGATTTTAGAGGCTGTTTAAATTTAAGACCATGCCTAATGACCCCAAGAGTAGCAGAATTCCACCACAGGACATCTTCTTTCCCCCCTTGACACTTTATCCCATTATATTTGAGATAGGAAATGGCCTGAAGGGGAGAGAGATTAAATGGCTTTCCTTTATGTCACTCCATCCATCACAGCACGTCCTACTGGAACTGATTTCTTGTGGCCTGAGGAATTATAATTTAGGTAGGCTGGAGTAGAACTCAAATCCATCCTAGTATGCCCAAACATTGTCAGCATGACACAGCATTTCTGACAAAAATGGGCTATAATAGTACCATTATAATCATGAGATTTGCCTCAGTCCATCTGGAAAAAAGCAGATTCAGAGATGGGAGCCCTCTGTGTGTGTGTGTGTGTGTGTGTGTGTGTGTGTGAAAGAGAGAGAGGGAGAGAGACAGACAGAAAGAGAGCTGCCTTATATTCAGCTCAGCTGTTGCCAACTTTGTTCAGAATGAATCATCGACATAAAATTCTCAGCTGTTTATTTGCTTACCTCAATTTAAGGGAAGAGATTAAGAAACTGTTCATATTTTCAAGTAAGTGGCTTAGGAAAGATGTTACACTTGGAAAGAGGAAACAAAAGATTCAGCTCTTCCCTGCTGGTGACTGTCATAAAGATGACCCCAAATTAAGCTCACAGCCTTTCCTGGCAAACCGTCTGTGTGCATCTGCCACCAGAGCCTAAGCGCTGAAAGGGCTTCCAATTAATGTTTCTCTCCAGATGTCCAATCCACTCTTTCAAGTTCATTTTGCAGCAGGGAAATTAGGTATGCCTGTGACTTGCTTTCCAAAGGAGCCGGATCTGTTTCCCACTCTTTGAGTTCGTGACGCCTGCTGAAACTAATGGGACCTGACAAGGATAGGAGCATGATACTGAATTTAGAAAGCAATGGTGAACGGCTCCCCAGAATGACTGGTTCAAGTTTACAGGAGAATCTTGGACTAAACAGCTGTGTGCATTATACCAGGCTGTTGTGGATGGCCACTAACTTAGATGGCTGTAAAAAAGGGTTTAAAAATTCATGGAAGACTGCAGTTATTAGCCAAGCTCACTACATGGAATCTCTATAGCTCTGAATGCCAGTGGCTGGGGGAAGACGTGAAGGGAAGCTATTGCTGCCCCGCTGGTGGGCTTCTTAAAAACATTGGTTGATGGCCCACTGAAGGAAATGAGATGTTGGTCTGCTCTTTTCATATTGTGCTGATTTTCCCATTGAGCTAAGACCAGGAATGGATATGTATCTGAATTTGAAGAAATTATTGTACTTACAGTCTTTATATGTGGGTGAGGGGAACTGAAAGAGTTATTGGATTTCCTAAAAGTAGAACTGGTGGGGGGACTGTCTAGTGTTCCCTGCTGAAACAGGAGATGTGTAACTGGTTTTCTTAGCGTAATTCTCCAAGGGCTCTTATTGATAGTTAGATGAGAATCATGCAGACCTTTTTTTATCAACATCCTCTTGGCAACATCATCTTCTGGTTAAAATAGTAACATTACAAAAGGTCTCTAGAAAACCCTGAAGGACATATCTATGCAGGGTTTGATAGTTATGTAAGGACTGTGATGAACATCATTGAAAACTCTCTAAATAGCATCTGTTGCTCTATGGCAGAACCCTTAGTATCTCAATCTCATTTATCTAAAGTGCCATTGGTGCCCCTCCCCTATGTCTCACCGTCACCAAAATCCCTGAACTCTGTCTTTAACTCACATTGTACAGAACAACATCAGACCAGGCTCAGAAGGATGACCAGTTCAAAATATAGTTGCAGTTAAGCTACACTGTTTCTTGGAAAACCCATCAAAATCAAATGGCAATTCTCATCTCCATTGCCCTAGGCCAGTGAGGAAGTTCCAACATGCAAAGAATTTTCCTGCCTGTAACAGCTGCCCTGCTCATCCTCATAGAGGATCTCTGTGTGTGTGTGTGTGTATGTCGCTTTGAACAAAGTGTGTGTTTCTCTGGGTCAAGGTATCAACATTCAAGATCTAGCATCATTTGGAAAAGTGGTGTAAATTGGCCTTGTCTCAGTTACATCAGTACTGTTATCCAGCAATAAACAAACAAATAAAAAGTCTGTATCAGAGAATGGAGAAGGTTTCTCTGAAAGCAAAGAAAAATGCATTTATTTGAACGGTGATGGTAAAAGCTATACTCTAAAATAGACAGTCTGAGGTCCAAAAATCTATTTGAGGTGTGCTTGAGAGCTTGGGAATACCCCATTGGATTTTAACCCTTTTTGGCCTTAGAGAAGTAGCCTCCAGAAACTAAAAACCCAGGAGTCAAAAAGTGACCATCCTTTGATCTGCTTCTGAAAATCCCCTTCTTTACACAAATGGTTCCATGTAGCATAGATGCTTCTGTTTGAGAACCACAAACCCAGACCTTAGCATGTGTTTAGTTGGGTGGTTATTTGATCCCAGTCTGTGTGAGATTCTTCACAAGACTAGTCGAAAAACAAGTGAAACTGAAACTGTCCTCTGTACCTTGATCATTCCAAGTTAGCACACAGCTTTCATTACAGTGAATTGATATTGTATAAACGGAATACCCAATTAATTAGAATACATGAAAGAAATATGACTTTCGATCAGAATTCAGTGCAAAGTGTTTCAGCCCACTGTGTGAATTGTAAGGAGGAACATGTACCTCTAGATATAAATCGTGTCACTTGAGAATCCATGAACAGTTTTATTTTCTGGAGAACCCCCCAAAGTTGCTTTTGGTGGCATATCTGCCCTGGTTGATTTCCTGTTCCTCTAATAAACAATGTTAATAGCTCAAACAAAAAGCACCTGAGATTTGTCCTGTTTCTGGATTTCTGAGTAGGGATGTTAGTACCATCCCAAAGACATAACAACTTTACTGTGATGCCCTGTATCTCTAGCATTGTTTGGCAATAACTTTTCAGTGTTTTCTGTCCCATTTCCCCCCTGCCCCTTCTTCTCAGTGTTCTTCAGGGTCATGATCTAGCTATGTTTTTAAAAATAAACCTGTGCATGCTTGCCTGCTTGCTTCTCATAAACAGAAGTTTCTTTCAGCTTGATCTTACATCTGCTTTTTTATGCAGCCACCTGTTTTACACAGGGGCATCTTTTCAAGGTCCTTTCCCAGTTTTCACACCCCTCTTCTCTGCCAAAAAATTAAATTATCGTATGACATTGTGTGTGGTATAGCCAGGATTGTCTGGCAGCCTAAAGCTCTAGCTCTTTTTTTAGCATTATGCAATGAGCTAGACTTATGGGGGGGGCTGGGAGAGCTGTGACTGGCCCAAGGTCACCCAGCTTGGCTTCAAGAGGAGAAGGGCAGCATTGAACCCGGTTCTCCAGGTCAGAGTTCGTAGCTCTTAACTACTACACCACCCTGGCTCCTTCCTCACTGCAAATTTAGCACTATATAAAAGGAGCATGTGATTTCTGCAAATTTAGCACCTTTAAAAAAAACAAACTGAAATCCACTAAAGAAGAAGCAGGAGGTTGTTATGGGAAAAGGAAACCTGTGTGTAGAGTGAGCAGAATACAACATACATGCCTGATCATGCAGGCTAAACTAGGCGAATGCAACATATGATGGATCTTAGTGGAGGTGTGTGGGCGAAGGCACTGTGTACAAATGCAGAAAACATATGCCCAGATGAAAGATCAGCAGGAGGAGGCATTCGCAGTCAGAGTAGACAGCAAAGGTCTATTTCACTTTGCCTAGTGAACCAATTCATAGTTCAATTATATATGTGCCAACTGTCTCTAGACCCGGTCCTGGCAGTAATCTCTAGCCCACATGCTCTTTGGGTGGAATTAACATCTCAACCTCAAACTGTCATAGTTTGGCATCTCTGAAAATGGGCAGAGTCCCAAAGAGAGGAATTAAATACAATCATGATAAAAGCTTCCTACTTTCTCATAGCCTTAATCAGGACAGAGATTCCTCCCTCAAATCATACAATGATCCCCGGTTCACAAGTTACAATAGCTCCGTTCATGATAAAATGAATGCACATACAATCTGTGTACACAGTGCACTTAATATTTTTATACATGCATTGAGTAATTCTCACATTACATTCTACCCATGTACAGCCGCAAATGCAATTTAAACCCCATATTTATCCAGGTATTGGTCCCCAGTATCATTTGTAAAGTGAATGCATGTTGGCTCTTTCTTAGAAGGAACTTTCCTATAGCATCTTCTGCCGCCTACCTTGAATAAATGGAGGAAAGCCAGGGCTGGCACTCTGCTTTGGGAAACAGATGCTTTAGAGATGAAGCAAGTGGATGCTGGGAAACACATCAGCAGGTGCCCTGGTGCCCCTGGGCACCATGTTGAGGACCACTGCTTTAAATCGGTCTTTAAGCCATGTGAGCCAGTCTGTAGTGCTTAGAGTGTTGGACTAGGATCTGGAGACTGAGGTTTGAATCCCCGCTCTGCCACAGAAGGCTGCTGGATGACCTTGGGCCAGGCACCCTCCTTCAGCCTAACCTACCTGTGACAATAAAATATCGGAGAAGATACACTGCTTTGGTTCCCCCTTGGGTAGAAAGGCAGGATATAAATGAAGTAAGCAAATAGAGCAGCAGGTACAGGTCAATCACTAAAGGTAAGTCAAAATCTCTCTCATGGGTCACTCCAGTATCCTCTGGTATGCTGTGGTGACTGGTGTCAACTGCTTCCCTTAGAGCTCATAAAGCTCATGCGCAGAAGGCTTCAGTTCCAAGAATGGGGTACATCATCTCATTGGTTTAGTTCAGGTATGAGGGGAACTTCAGACAGTTGCTTGCAAATCAGTATCATTGGCAAGGATTAGTGTCTATTCAGGCTATTCAGTCTGCATCACTAGTAGTGGGTATAGGAAGCAAATGCACTTGCCTTTGCGAATATTTGCTATGCTCCTGGCAGAAATCAGCCACTTTGATATGTCTAAAAAATGTATTGCATGCACAGCCCTTTATTTCCAGGGATCTATAGCCTGGTTGTTCCTGGATGCATGTGGACAATGCTGTGAGAACTTTGATAAAGCATTTTTCTCCTCTCTTTCCCCCCTCCCTTGGCTGTGGTTCGGCAGGAGCTCTTCTTAGCTCCGAAATGTTTGTCATCCTCATGCTATACCTCTGGCTAGGAATTGGACTCGCCTGCGCCGGCTTCTGTTGCCACCAAATGCTGCTGATCTTGCGAGGACAAACCCGATACCAAGTACGGAAGGGGACAGTGGCACGACCCCGGCCCTGGAGGAAGAACCTGCAGGAGGTCTTTGGGAAGAGGTGGTTGCTTGGACTTCTCATCCCTGTGCTCAACGTTGGAAGTGACTATCACAGGCAGAAGGAGAAGTGATGCTTCCCAGCACGCATAAATGCATATGTGCACGGATGCACACATGGGTACGCGCACACACACACTTGCTGTCCATAAGGGAATGCGGCACTCGGGTTACTTGTACTTTTCTCTCAGTCTTGCAAACCTATCAGAGTGGAAGGCAATTAGCAAACAAGCTGGGTTCGTGCCCTGTTTTAGAAGGGGAGGCTGGTCACCAACCACGCAGATGGCAATAATCTCTGGGCTGCTAAAAAGTATTCGCCAGACCTTCCCTTCAGCCCCTGACTCATCCTCACCCTTCCCTCCTCCCCTTCTTCATCAGCCCCTCCTCACGTTGCCTTTCATGCTTAGGAGCCGGAGTGGCATCTTCCGCCATCCAAAAGGGCAGCCTGGGTTGCTGAGAGGAGGTTGTGAGTACAGCCGAGGGCTCCTGTGGGATTTGCCCCCTGTGTTAGTTGAGGCTTTTTGCAGCTTAAAGTGACCCCAATATAGCAAGAAGCCCGTGTCACCAGAACAGCCTCGTGTGGTCAGTCAAGCCCTCTTCAGGCACAAGGAATGAAAATTGCTGGGAAGGCAGACAGAGGTTGCCTGACTCTGAAATGGAAAGCACTTATCTGCCCACTTCCTAATCACTGCCCTCCATCCCAAAGTGCAGTACAGCAGTTAGCAGCTTGACCATGTGGCCTATTAAAACAGCAGATCTGCTGGCTGATGGGCTGTGTTTTTTTGTGTGTGTGCGTGCAGAGAATTAGGCTCGTTTTCAAGCCTCCTACCCTGATCCCTGCCTAATAGCAGCACTCCAAGCCCATCTGGTCTCAGGGATCAACAAGCAAGATTATTGGGGCTGAGCACAGTGATACTGAGCACAGGAGAGAAAGGGGATGTGAATGGAAAGGTTGCACTTGAGAGTGTGCTAACGGTAGAAGGCCCAGCAAGGGTGCATACGAGGGTGTATGTGCTTAGGGGGAGAGAATGAGTAGAGCTGTGAAAGTACCAGGCAGGGAGTGGGATTTGTCTGGGAAATGGGCTGGAGACAGGCAAGGGTATTCCCACCCCCAAGGGCTAGAAGTGACACATGAGAAGAATCACTGCTCAGGGTGGGTAGAGTCATCTCACCTCTGGTAAACAGGTTTTAGAGGGTTTTGTAGCATTTAAAAACCTGCAAGACCAGCATGGCCAAAAACAACAGAGGGATGAAAGCAGGGTGAATGGGGCTGTTGAAATGGACAGAAAGCATTTGCAGCCCCAGCCAATGGCAACAAGGACAACAAGTGGAAGGTTTTCTGCTGACTCCTCCCATGATGCCCCTGGACAGCATCTGAGTTGAATGGCCACCAATGGTGTGGGAGGAGTCAGTGGAAGAATTTCCACCCATTGTTGTCCCTCCCTGGCTGTATCCATGCTCAGAAACCTCTGAGGCTCGGCTTGATGCTGGCTGACACCAGCCCTGCTGAGTAGGAGGCCATCAGGATTTTTTCCAGTAAGTTAAAGGGCCAGTCCTTTCCTGGACAAAAGAAGTGTGTGGCAACATCAAGGCCAGCAATACGTGTATCATCCCAGGCTCAGAGATGCTTAGCTCAGAGATGCTTGAGTCACTTTCAGCTTTTAAGGCCATAATAAAAATAAAAAATGGCAGCACTTCCTTTGATAGACCTCCCGCTATGGTGGAGGCCTCTTGCTGGCAGCCCTCTTTTTCTGAAGCCACTCAGAAAGGTGGTGGGAGAAATTTTTTACAAAACAGTGACATTGCTATGTCATATCCAGTGTAAACCCAAAAGTGATAGAGGGTAGCTCTAGGAATTTCTGAAAACTCTATGGTTTGCCATAGCGTTTCTGGTGATTCCTAGAGCTACCCTACATCACTTCTGAATTTACTTTGGAAATGACATAATGATATCAGTGGGGTCACTGACATCATGCACCTCCATGTCCCAACCCCCAAATGTAGACTTTGAGATTGAGACCCAGGCCAAATGGCCCTCCTGAACATCCCCCACAGCCTCTGCTTCTTTCCTCCAACTCTTAAAAATTACCCTCTGACTCCAGCCTAAGAGTAGATCAGTATGATATATAATTGTACACAGGACAGAGAGCATCCAAGTGAGATACTGAACTGAATTACTGAGGGGAAGCTGTAAGAAACAGCCCTTGAATTAGCCTCAAATTAGCACTTAGCAAGAAACAACTTGAAATTGCTGAGCCGTCGGGTTAGAACAGAAGGAAGTACTTCTTCACCCAAAGAGTGATTAACACATGGAATTCACTGCCACAGGAAGTGGTGGCGGCTACAAGCATGGACGGCTTCAAAAGGGAATTAGATAGACATATGGAGCAGAGGTCCATCAGTGGCTATTAGCCACAAGGTATAGATAGGGGCTCTGGGGCAAGTGATGCTCTGTCGTCTTGGTGCTTGGGGGGGGTCAACAGTGGGAGGGCTTCTAATGTCCTGGCCCCACTGGTGGACCTCCTGATGGCACCTGGTACTTTTGGCCTGTGTGACAGAGTGTTGGACTACATGGACTGTTGGCCTGATCCAACATTGGCGTCTCTTATGTTCTTATAACTTGTGAGGATAAACTGCAGAACGGGCCATTGGATACTTTCTGTGAAGGGCCCTTCTCCTCTGAGGAAAGGACTTGCCCTTTAACTTACTGTCTACGTATGCTGTCCTGAGCTCTAGGGGCGGATTGGTCATTTAACTCACAGGGAAATTTCCTGGTAGGCTGCTGCCCTGGTGGTCCACTTACCACCAGTGACAATAACTGTGCTAAACCCTCCAGGGCCAAATGGCTCAGAGTTTGCAGCTGCAACAATAACCAGTTTCAGCTCATCACTTGCCCACTCCATGCACTGTGGGGCACGTTGGCAGCAGTGTGGGAGGAGGCAATGGGGAAGCTGCTGCACATCATGGGTGCTGTTGGTCAGGTCTCAGATGAGTGGCCCCTGAAGTCCTGGCTTGCAGAGTCATAGGGATAGATCAGCTTGGCTTACTCATGGACCATTTTAACTTCCCAGTCTGCCCAGCACAGCTCCTTGGTGGAAGGGTGTGATACGTGTAGGTAACAGCAGATGTGTTCCCATTTTCTCTGCAGTAGGTGCCTTATTTCTTTTTAAGCTATCACTGCTTCATGCTTCATTCTAGAGCTGGCGTGAGATCTTGCATGAACTCAGACTCCATCAGATTTCTAAAAAGTGGTTCCCAGTACAGGGCCACCAAACTCAAGATGGGGCCTGAAGATTTCCATGAATTACAACTGATCTCTGGACTACAGACACCAGTCCCTCTGAAGAAAACTACCTCCCTGGAGAGTTGACTCTGTGACATTATACACTGCTGAGGTTCCTCACCTCCTCAAACCCCACCGTTCCCAGGATCCACTCCCAAATCTCCAGGAATTTTCCATCTTGGAGCTGGTAACCCTATTCCAACACCATGGGGAGGGGTATAGTCTGGGTCTCATATCAACAAAACTAAAGCCTAAGTGAACCCATGTGCAAGATCCATCAAATTAGCATTTTGCTATTCCAGTGTGCAAACAGCAAATTTAAGAATCTAGATGCATAATATTGCCAAAATTCATTTTGGCATTCCCAAGTGGTTTAGGACAGCCACATTTGTGCAAGTTTGTCACGGTTCTCGCATTGGCTGGAAGAACTGGGGGCAATGAATCCTTTCCTTGCACAAGATATTCACCCCACATTCATTGGTGGGATGTGGTTCAAGGTGTTGTCCAAGCCACATTTCTTATGCTGGAGTTTAGTGTTTTCATTTACAAGAGGCTTCAACCGTAGCCCTCTCATGCAGCTTCATAGAAATCCAGGTGTACACATAGGAAACATATCAGTATAACCTTTGACAAAGAAGTGTTTTTACCATGACATCCTCTTCAAGAAATCACCAGTGGGGTAGATAGATGGCAGCACACATAGAAAGCCGGCCTTCTATATGAGACATGGGCTTGCATGGAAATATATTTATTTACTTCTCTACCTGTGGCTCAGTAGAAGAGCATCTGCTTGGCCTGCAGAAGGTACCAGGTCAACCCCTGGTGCTTCCAGTTAAACGATCAGGTGGTAGGTGATGTGCCTGAGGCCCTGGAGAGCCACTGCCAGTCTGAGTAGACAATACTGATCCTGATGGGCCAGTGGTCCGATTCAATATATGGCAGTTCCATGTGTTCATGTATCTATCTAATATGCTGCATTTTCACTAATAGATAACAATAAAGTATATTGATTTTTTTTAACCATTGTCTCTTCTGTGCTGTGATCTTTAACTTCTCCATGAGGGTGGGGGAAGGCAGAGATGTGCTTGGGCGTCCTGTAATATTACGCATATGTGCTCTTATGGACTTTATAACCCATAAGTAATAAAATGGACTGTGCAAACATATGCTTAAAGGACTGTATTGCTTGCTGACCCAATGTGATGCCAGTTGAGAATGCACACCTAAGAGAAGAAAGTCTTCCTTTGTGTTGCCGTTCCAGTTGGTTCTTCAGTGTTATCTACCCTCTTGCCTGCTGTGAGATGAAGCAGTTCCATAAGCCTGCACAAAGCCTCAGACGCCATGCCATGGCACAAGGACAAAGAGCTCCAAATGCCATGAGGAGCTCCCTCTGTCACATGCAGGCAACCCCCCCCATCTATCTGCAAGACTGCACATAACAGAGAGGTTCTACACATGGTTAATTGGAAACTAATCTCTCACCCATCAACAGGCTCAGCTAAGCCCATCAGGAAACAATACCCCTAGCTCAGTGACTCATACCCTCTTCATCCAGGTGCTACTCTCCAGTCCAAGTTACTAGCTCTCAATATTGACCATTCCTTAGTTCCACTCCCCTCTTCCTGCCAGCCAATAGCATGTGTATAGAAATATTGATTCCTATAAACCCCTGCCTTCCCCTGAAATGTCTTTCTGATACCTTGTTTCCTGTTGCCAGCCAAATGGCTGACCATTTGGTCAGAGAAGGTCAATTGCCATGCCATATAACCACACATTCTTCACACCTCTAAG